TCGTCAGCTGGCCGGATTAAAGTGTTTATTTTTATATTCAATTTCACCTTGTTTATTGTGTTGGCCGGTTCCCCTGATATCCGGCCACCGAATTTCAACGCATTTTACAACCTGATTTCCAACGCATATCAAAGATGTACATCATATTTGAACGCACATCAACGCCCAAAATATTCAACGTATTTCGACGTCAAAAAATATATCAACGCATTTCAACGCCCCCCAAAAATTCACCTCATTTCAATTCAACGTCCCCCCCCCCCACAAAAATATCAACGCATTTCAGACTAAATTACAACGCATTTCAAATCACGAATTATTTCAACGCATTTCAATGCCCATCAGGTATTGACAAGCCGTGAACGGGCGATACATCACTCTGTTAAAAGTTTTATCTGTGAAGTGAAAGCTCGCTGTACTCCCGCTGTAAACAGATAGAGGTAGGTGATGGATAAATAGATATAGTGTTAATGTAAATGTTGTCCGTGTTAACAGAGAGGATTATAGAATTTGTTTACTGAAATTGTTGCACACAGAGAGAGAGAGAGACTATAAATAAGGCAGAAGTTCTCGACACACACAAGTTCCCCGTGTGTCTCTATATGACACTAGTGGGCCACGTCTCATGTCAACGAGTTTAAAAGCTTCAAGTTATCCTTATCAACTACTTGAGAAGAGCTGGCAGTCGCTCTCCTACCCCCGACGTCTGATGCCGTTAAGAAATACAAGCGCTGTGTTGAGTTCAACTCCAACAAGTGATTTTAGACGGTGAGGACTGTGTGTTCGGTAAGACACTGTACTTTTAGTGCGATGAACGCTGTGTTGAGTTTAAAAGATCTGAACATTCTCTTTACTAAAACCTCGACAAGTTGTGTTAAACGGTGAGAACTCTGTGTCTGGGAAGAAGCAACAAGTGCTGTTAAAAGTTAAGACGTGTGTTTAGAAAGAAATGTTTTAAACGGTAGGACCGCTGTGTGCAGCAACAAGTGTTTTACAAGATAAGAATGATGTGTTTTGTAACAAGAGTTTTAAGAAGGGAAAAGATCTGTATTTACTAACTAGTATTTTTTAGACAATAAGAAAGGTGTGAGAACGTTGTGTTCAGTAACCACTTTTAAAAGCAGAAAACGTGTGTTTATTAATTAGTGCTTTTGAAATGTGGGAACAATGTGTTCATTAGTTAACACACTCAGCGGGTGTGGACGCTGCCGTGCTACACCATGAGTTGTACCGATCCACTACTGTGTGACCATTGATTATCACACCTCCCTGTGCCAGCTGCCTCCACCCTCCTACTCGTTTCCATACCCGTTCCATTTCCACCTTGAAAGTGAAAGTGGATCTTATAGGCCAGAGGCAGTGTGGCCAGCACCTAACCACCTTCACTTCCTTCCCTGCAAAGTTAAGTCAACTGGGGAGCCCCTGAGCGCTACCCGGTGACACTGAGGACAGGAGGTGATCCGCCGCACCTCTGCAACTTCCTTGTGTTTAATATTTTCTGCAAACAACTTCAGGTACAGGTACAGGTTCAGAAAATTCAAAATGTATCTAGAAGTAAGGTACAGCGTCTCCCTCATGTCACCAACAACCTCATACCAACATCTCTTTTGTGTCAACTGCATAATCTGAGTCAGGAATAACACGGAAACAATGGCCAAACATATTATGAACTCTGAGGAAAGAATGGCAGCACTGAACTGAAATATATATACAAATACACATGACTTAGCCGATCATTCCCACACACACACACACACACACACACACACACACACACACAAAACTAATACTGTCTCTTAATACGTAAACATTGATCTTAAAACACATACAGGCCTTCCAAAAGTTGTTCCTTATGTCTCACCCTGTATCTTAGTTATAGCTCCTCATAACTAATTATATAAGGACCAAATATATTCCTACAACAATAGCTCGTCTAATACCTGGCCATGAAGTAAGATATAATGGAACGGAACGAAGCAAGAACGTAAAAGAAATGCATTAATTCAAGCCTAAAAAATAATAATAATAATAATAATAATAATAATAATAATAATAATAATAATAATAATAATAATAATAATAATAATAATAATAATAATAAATAATAATAATAACTTCGTGAACCAATAACTAAAATAACCCTTATAACTCCTAAACCAACAACTATACAACACAAAACAAGCAACACTGAACCAAAGATACACCAACACAAGTTACGTTCCAAACACCCTCCCCTTCTCCCCCCCACCCGCAAGAAAAAAAAATCTCAGTAGTTGTATAAAAAATAAACTTAAAAGGTGTAATTAAGTTCCCACAAGTCAAAGGCTGAGTTAATATTCGGATTAGATTTCAAGAGTAAGCCCCGGCAGGTATGAGGATTGGCTAGATGCATCAGGAAGCTCTTGTAGTGATGCTTGGCTTAGTAACGAAGCCAGCGAGGACTGAAGATTATGGTGATGATAGTAGGTGTGTGTGTGTGTGTGTGTGTGTGTGTGTGTGTGTGTGTGTGTGTGTGTGTGTGTGTGTGTGTGTGTGTGTGTGTGTGTGTGTGTGTGTGTGTGTGTGTGTGTGTGTGTGTGTGATGAATATCGTGTTTTTCATCTCGCTCTTTCTCTGCTTGTTATATATACATCTCTCTCTCTCTCTCTCTCTCTCACAGCAGATATACATATGTAGATTCGTACATGTTTCAACCATCCCTCAACACACACACACACACACACAGACGTGACTGGCGGTGTAGTCTGGCTCAGGTTACCCCATAGATCACCACCCAACCTCCCGTCACTGGGAAAAGAAAACCCGTCTAGTTATGGTATAGTCTCTGTTCGCTTTCGACCCCATTTTGGCTGACACACACACACACACACACACACACACACACACACACACACACACACACACATCCTGTATATTTGAGATGTGTGTAAATATCTTCATTATTTTAAGAGAAATTTACGTATGGTTGTGTGAGAATTGACTTCCAGTGTCACTTATTTGTATAAAAAAATATCACGTTTTTTCGTGGTGGGGAGGTGATGGTGGGGGAGAGGTGGTGATAGTGGAGGGATGGAGATGGTGGTGGCAATGGAAAGGTGGTGAAATAGTGGTGGTAAAGAGGTGGTGGTGGAGAGGTGATGGAGTGGTATTAGTTGAGAGGTGGTGGTGATGGTGATGAAGAGGTGGTGATGGAGGGGTATTGGTGATGAGTGGTGGTGAAGTGAATTAGACTGTTGCCGCGGGTAACCCACACTCATCCTGTGAGCGGTAGGACAAAATGGATTACAGAACAGAGGTCACAAAGGCCTTTGTCAGACCCCAGTGGTCAGTTGACTGTAGCAGTCGGTATTACGGGGCTGGTTTATTACACAGGGCCACACAGTCTTTACATAATAGTTGAATTATTCACTTTGGAAAATGTGGATAATTCCATACCATTGTAAACACACCTACATAAAGAATTTCCTGCCAAAGGTAAGTACTCATATTCCTAACATTACTCTAACAGTAACAAAACACAATTTCTTAACCCAATAACTTCACCACAGTGAACAAAGAATCAACTAATGCAATTTTGATCTCGTCTGCCTGCTAGCTCAAAATTCACCTGCTAACTTTCTCTTAACTACAGGTTTTCACAGTTCTGCTTGACAATAGAAAATCAAAACAAACAGCATTCCTGACACTCTGAGGTGAGGGTATTTTTTTTTTTTTTTTTTTATTGGGCACTCCCTACATCCTTGTGTAAGGTGAAGCGCAGAAGCGTTTACAGCGCCCAACAGGGAAGCATGCTAAGTTCATGCTTGCCTTTATGTCTCATGAGTTAAGGGCGTAGAAGCCTGAAGAGTCAAGGGCATAGAAGCCTGAAGAGTCAATGGTTTATGTCATCAAGTTATTGGAAGCTCCAACAACTTTTCCCCGAATACGAATTCGCAACTTTTCGATTTACACCAGGTACCTACTTAACTGCTAGGTGAACAGGGACTAATGGGGGCTAGGAAGTATGTCCAAACAACTTCCACCGGCCCGGGAATCGAACCCGTGACATCTCGCTTGCGAAGGCAAGAGCGGTACCACTCTACCACCAGCACCCCCAAGGTGAGGGTATTGAGACTCATTATGAGGATAGGCAGTGACTGATGAGACTGTCTGTGGTTCAGTAACTCCTACAGATGAGGACAGAGAGTGTGACGAGCATCAACATGAGAAGACGACTAGATGTTGATTCTGAGACTCCATTCTCGAGTATGTTATTGTTGAAGAGTTATGAATAGAGGGGTAGTGGTGGTGATAGAGGGATGGTGGTAGTGGTGGGGATGGTGGTGATAGAGGGTTGGTTGTAGTGGTGGAGTGGTGGCGATGATAGAGGGGTGATGGTGTTGATAGAGGGGAGGTGGTGATGATAAAGGGATGGTGGCTAGTGGTGGTGAGATGGCGATGATAGGGGGATGGCGTAGGGGTTGTGGTAGTGGTGGAGGTGGTGATGAAGAGGGTGGGGGTAGTGATGATGGTGGAAGAAGGTGATGATGAAGGGGTGGATAGGTGATGTAGACAGATAGACAGACGAAGAAAAAATAAACATATAGAAATAGACGGAGAGGTAGAGAGACTGATGCTCAGAAAAAATAATAATAATAACAAGCAGACGGGGAGAGAAACGGATAAATTAACAGAAAGAGAATAATCAATAACAACAAACAGACAGATAACGTAAAAGAGATAGACAGACAACAAACAAACAAACTTATTTATAGACGCAAATAATCGAGAGAGAGACAAAAAGACAAGAGAACAATCACAGAGAGAGAGAGAGACAGAGAGAGAGATCAATCAGAGAGAGAGAGAGAGAGAGAGATAAAGAGACAGTCAAACAGAGAGATAATGTCAACACTCTACAATGAACTTTAACTTTCGATGTGTTAGAATGAAAAAATAAAATAAAAAAACTTGTGACATTGGTAATGGAGTGTTATTTTGGTGGGCAAATGTGACCTTTAACGTCATAATGGAGCCAACTCATTTTTAAGGACGCACAAACAATTATCTTTTTTCTTGTCCTGTAAAACCAAAAGCATACACAAACACAGTAACAAAAAAAAACACACACACACACCACACACCTGCTTTTCATACGGGCTGTTGTCAAAGGTAGTTGACATACGGATTTTAAGTTCACATCACAAGAAAACTAAGACTTTAAGTCACTTTATGAGAGCCTTAGTGAAGCAGCCAACAGAACCTGAACTATTATGTTTTATTCTAATTTATGGTAATTAGAAAGATCACCATCGTGGTCCATTTGTCATATAATTCTCTTAAATTTTAAATATTCAAAAATTCCTTCATAGTGAACATTTTTTTAAATATCATTGCATTTCTTTTCAAAAAGGCAAAACTAATCAACCTAACTTAACCTAACCTACCTACCTCAACTTAACCTACCTAACTTAACTTTACGATCTAACAGTATATCATCATTAAGTTACATAGGTTAAGTTAGGAATTAGTTCATTTTTCTCTTTCCAAACAAGTATATGATGCCCTCTCAGCTGTCAAGAAGGAAGTGGATCGCGATATTGATCTTCATTATCCATCTCATTGTTTACGTCTACAATAAATCTCTTGGTCAGTGAAGATCCAAGCCACACCAGGAACTAAGAAAAGAAACACGTGATGTGCAGTTCAGGTCGAGAGCAAAGCCGAAAGGTCAACAGAGCCCCATCTTAACCTCTCGGGCGTGACCCTCCCCCACCCCCGCCTCCCTCTCTCCTCAGGCCCAGACAAGTGATGGGCGGGTCTTCAGCTGACCACTAACTACAAAGCCCACTGTTGATTGATCTAGATCACCAGTGGCTCTACCAATCACAAGGCTGCTTTGACGTGGCTGACAAACACATATACACACACACACACACACACACACACACACACAAATATACACAACTGACCAACTTTACCAAACACAAGGATTTATGATGATACAAATATTTTTGGAGAGATAAACACACACACACACACACACACACACACACACACACACACACACACACACACACACACACACACACACACACACACACACACACACACACACACACACATATAAACTCGCACAAACAAATACGCAGCAGACGAGCGACATCAAAGCCATCTGTTGACTGGTTCACACAAGCATGAGCTCCACCAATCAGAAGGCTTATGTGACCGCTGGGAGGAAAGGGGGGGGGTAGGTTACTGACACGTATGCACTCACGTCTCTTCCGCGTTTGAGTGTTTGATGTGAGTGTATAAATAATAACTACGACTTACACTCAAGTTTCTTCCGCCTTTGAGTAGTTCCTTTGTCCTGACATTAATATTCTTTTGGGTAATTATATTGTCTTAATTATTTTAGGTCTTTAATGATCAGTCTTAAACCATTTTGTTATTTAGTCTTAGTCTTTAGGTACTTCAACGGTCCAAGGTCTTTAAGCACCGTTCATTAGGTCTTAGTTTTCCACACATCAAAAACAAATAACTTGTGATAACTGTTGGTTCTCTGTTTACCTTAAGCAGAGTATTTGGAACTTTTCTGTGTATATATATACCGTAAGTGAATAATGTATGTGTTTACCTAATCAAAATATGTGTGTGTGTGTGTGTGTGTGTGTGTGTGTGTGTGTGTGTGTGTGTGTGTTTTCATATTTGCCGGTTATATAGCACACAACCCAACACTACAGGTACACCCCAACCCTGTGATAACATTACACTGCGTCACATATCCTCCAACAGGAACAAATATAAGAATAACAGATCTTAATATTCCTCACCTCTATATTCCTCACCTCTATATTCCTCACCTCTATATTCCTCACCTCTATATTCCTCTCCCCTATATTCCTCACCTCTATATTCCTCACCCCTATATTCCTCACCCCTATATTCCTCACCCCTATATTCCTCACCTCTATATTCCTCACCCCTATATTCCTCACCTCTATATTCCTCACCCCTATATTCCTCACCTCTATATCCCTCACCTCTATATTCCTCACCTCTATATTCCTCACCCACATATTCCTCACATATTCCTCACATATATTTCTCACCTCCCTCACCTATATTCCTCACCTCTATATTCCTCACCTCTATATTCCTCCACCTCCTATATTCCTCACCTCTATATTCCTCACCTCTATATTCCTCACCTCTATATTCCTCACCCCTATATTCTTCTCCCCTATATTCCTCACCTCTATATTCCTCTCCCTTATACTCTTCACCTCTATATTCCTCTTCCCTATATTCCTCACCTCTATATTCCTCACCTCTATATTCCTCTCACCTATATTTCTCACCTCCATATTCCTCACCTCTATATTCCTCACCTCTATATTCCTCACCCCTATATTCCTCACCTCTATATTCCTCACCTCTATATTCCTCACCTCTATATTCCTCACCTCTATATTCCTCACCCCTATATTCCTCCACCCTCATATTCCCTATATTCCTCAATATTCCTCACCCCTATATTCCTCACCCCTATATTCCTCACCTCTATATTCCTCACCTCCTGCCTATTCCTCACCCCTATATTCCCTCCCTATATTCCTCACCTCCTATTTCCTCTACCTCTATATTCCTCACCCCTATATTCCTCACCTCTATATTCCTCCACCCCTATATTCCTCACCTCTATATATTCCTCACCCCCATATTCACCTCTATATTCCTCACCCCTATATTCCTCACCCTATATTCCCTCATATTCCCCATATTTTCCTCACCCCTATTCCTCACCTCTATATTCCCTCACCCCTATATTCCTCCCTATATTCCTCACCTCTATATTCTCACCCCTATATTCCTCACCTCCATATTCCTCACCTCCTATATTCCTCACTCACCTCTATATTCCTCCTATATTCCTCCATATTCCCCTCACCTCTATATTCCTCTCCCCTAAATTCCTCTCCCCTATATTCCTCACCTCTATATTCCTCACCTCTATATTCCTCACCTCAATATTCCTCACCCCTATATTCCTCACCTCAATATTCCTCACCTCAAGCATAACTCATATCCTCGAAAATGGGGTAAAACTCAAACCAAATTGTGAGATGAAATCAATACAAATATTGTCACTCCACCGTTGCCGTCCAGCCGATGGAGCGCTGTGTTTTTTGAGGCAATAAAGCGGTGATATATGTGTATGTGTGTGTGTGTGTGTGTGTGTGTGTGTGTGTGTGTGTGTGTGTGTGTGTGTGTGTGTGTGTGTGTGTCTTAGATGGTTGTACATGTTGTTTACTTAAGTGATGAAGTGTGTTTAAATAATATATTTCACACACACACACACACACACACACACACACACACACACACACACACACACTCACACACACACACACACACACACACACACAGACACACACACACACACACACACACACACACACACACACACACACACACACACACACACACACTCACACACACACACACAATAGTTTCCCCCACTTCTCAGCTACCCGTCGATACAGCTCACTCACGCACCACTGTCCTGCCAAACTTTCTCTGCCACGAAACTTTAACTCGATAGCACGAAACTGTCTCTTGGGTGGCCCAGGACGAAATGAAACAGGGCTTTAAAGACACACGAAACTTTACCATGAAGGCACGACACAAGCGACCATGAAAACACGAAATTGACCCGTGAAGACAATGAAGACACGAATATACCCTACAATAATAATAATAAAAAAACAATAAAAATAATAGGTTAGGTTAGGTTAGGTTAGGTTATGTTAGGTTAGGTTAGGTTAGGTTAGGTTAGGTTATGTTAGACCCCTACCTCACCCCGTTCTAAATACCTCAGTAGTCAAGATATACGTGGAAATAATAATCTCAAATCAACAGCTCATCAAAACACAACCTCGCTTTAAACACATCCGAGGAACGATAAACAAAACCTTAAGTATCGTCATAATGGCAATGGAAACTATTACTTGATCAGAAGATGCCATGAGTATTAACGAGCTCACGAATGGACAGACAGACACCACCAAGAACAAAATACCTTCACTATAGCGAGAGAGACAAATATTTTACCCTACATCGATTTTTTTTTATAGGTAGGAAGAGATATTGTATATGTATAGTGAAAAGTTCTTCTTCTTCTTCTTATTATTATTATTATTATTATTCTGTGATGATGATGATATCTCTCTTGTTATCTCTATCTCAGTTTAAAGTTTCCATAATTGATAAATATCTCTTTATCTCTGTAATATTCTGAACTCAAGAAATATATGTTTTTTAATTCGTAAAATCTCTCTCTCTCTCTCTCTCTCTCTCTCTCTCTCTCTCTCTCTCTCTCTCTCTCTCCCTTTAATAATTCTCTATTAAGTAACAATGAGTTCCTGAATACCCATTAACCTGCAGTCATCACCTCTTTGTGTTATATCCAGATTATCACACCTCCGCCTCTCCTTTCTTCCCTTCCTCACTCACACACTCCCTCCTTCCACACCACACCACACCGCACCACACCACACCACACCACACCACACCACACCACACCACACCACACCACACCAGCTTCCCAACTAGGAGCCCTCATTGCATCAGCTCTTAAGTGGCAATAACAGGGATTTAAATGTGTGTGTGTGTGTGTGTGTGTGTGTGTGTGTGTGTGTGTGTGTGTGTGTGTGTGTGTGTGTGTGTGTGGCCACAAGCACCGCCGTGGTGACCTACAAGACGCCTACACCATTAAATGTCACTGTGAAATATTCAACACCACAGTATGGAGACGCCGGACTTGTGGCCCTGGGGAGGAGGAGAGAGGGAGATGGGGGGAGAGGGAGAGGGGGCAAGGGAGGAGTGTGGGAGAGAGGGAAAGGGAGGAGAAGGGGGGATGAGAGGGAGGGGGAGGGAGCGAGGAAGAGGAAGGGGAATAGGGAAGAGAAGAGGAGAAAGGTAGAGGAAGAAGGTGAAGAGAAGGGGAGAGGGTGAAGGGAAAGGGATAAATAAGGTGTAAAGGAAAGGAAGGGAAGGATGTAGTGGAAAGAAATGTGTACAAAAGAAAAGGAAAAGAGAATTGCGAAAAATTTGATGATATACTGTATGTCTTGTTCCCCTCCCGTCCCTCCCCCTCCCCCCTCAGTATCCAACCTTCCGAAGACCCTGGAGGATTTACTCCAGGCGGTCCCTTCCAACCTTCTGCGGTACAACGCTAAACTTTGAACTTGGAACCGAATATCCGAATCTGAAACCGAATCCGAAAACCTGTAACCGAGTCCGAATCTAGAACTGAATCCGAACCTTGAACTGAATATCTGGATCTGAAACAGATTATCTGTAGAATCTAATCCGAACCTGAACTTAGAACATGAACGCTTACGGTCACAAAAAGTACAGCACTGAAAATATTAAGATCAGGGTTAAACATTCATGATGACCAGGTTTAATGTTTTGTTTTGTTTTGGTTTAGTATTTTGGTCGATGGTTTAAAGCGTTTTATTGTAACTTTTTGGGGTTGAAACATTTTTTCTTACTTCAAACTTTTTTCTGTTTTTATTTTACGTTCTTTTTTACCTAAAATCATCGTGTTTTTCCTGAACGATATTTTATACGTGTTAAGCTATTTTTACCCTAAATTCTGTTTCCAACCTTATTTTTGTTTTTGATTTTGAACGATTGTTTTACCTAAGAAGTTATCATATTTTGACTGAACCATCAGTCTACTTTAAGCATCTTCATCCACATCGTTATTTCTTACCTCAAACTTTACAATTTATATTAGAAGTTTTAATTATTATCTTCACTTTTATAACTTAAAGTCACAAATCGTCATGCATGAAACACTGGACTCCGCCGCAACACAACAAAACATAAAAGCGGTATAACACAATATAAAGCAACACAACATAACGCGACACAACATAACAATACAACACAACCCAACACAACATAACGCGACACACCACAACACACAGGGAGGCAGGAAGTAGTGTAATGTCGTCTGTATCAGCCACTTGGACGTTTTATTGACTGCCTGGAAAAACAACACCCAACACACGCCTCTCTCTCTCTCTCTCTCTCTCTCTCTCTCTCTCTCTCTCTCTCTCTCTCTCTCTCTTGTCTCAACAGTAACTTCAATAACCTGTGTGTCATACCGACGTAACTGTGTATGATTGTTAATTTAAATGTGTACAGATGATTCGTGTTTGTTTGCTTCCATCAACAAAACACTGGACGTAAGGAGTGGAGGTGACGTTCCCGTGGCTCGTCCTATGAGGCAGTCGTGTTTAATCCGCCTGTTACTCTTCTTCTAAATCAATCGTCCCAGACACATCGGTTAAGGGGTAGGGGTCAGGAACCTTTTAATTTGAGGGATTTATAATTGTCTGCTGTCTAGTGGAGAATGTAAGACTCAATGAAAGATGTTGAGCCCCTTGAGCACGATTACTTAACCCCATGAATACGATTACTTAACCCCTTGAGCACGATTACTTAACCCCTTGAGCACGATTACTTAACCCCATGAATACGATTACTTAACCCCTTGAGCCCAAGTACTTAACCCTTCGGTTGCTCAAAAGTACGAACGGTATAATTATTTCTTGGTAAAGTCAAGATAAAATTCAATATTATTTTCGTTGCCATATTTTAATTTACCCAGCTATGCGAAAACTCATCTGAGATCCAAAAATTTCCTGTCAAAATGGCTTTAAAATTGCAGTCAGACTACCGTACCTAAAACGATCTCTCTCTCTCTCTCTCTCTCTCTCTCTCTCTCTCTCTCTCTCTCTCTCTCTCTCTCGATGATCAAAACAAATGACGTAGGTATACTTGAAAATCCGTAAGAGGTGAGTCAGTTAAGGCCTCGGATGACGTGAGAGATGCGTACCCTGCCTTAAATACCAACCATGACGTCACTGAAAGCGTGATGACGTCAGTGTTCGTTTAATGTCTTTGTTATGGACGCTGGACAGAGAGATCTTGTTTCATTTATTATTATTTGAGCAGTTGTCTACGTGTTGTACTTTTTTCCGATTGTGGTGGTTGTGGTAGGTTGTGGTAGTGTTGGCAGGTTGTGGTAGTGTTGGCAGGTTGTGGTAGTAAAGGTAGTGTTGGCAGGTTGTAGTGGTTGTGGTATTGTTGGCAGCTTGAGGTGGTGTTGGTAGGTTGTGGTAGTGTTGGCAGCTTGTGGTGGTGTTGGTAGGTTGTGGTGGTGTTGGCAGGTTGTGGTAGTAAAGGTAGTGTTGGCAGGTTGTAGTGGTTGTGGTATTGTTGGCAGCTTGAGGTGGTGTTGGTAGGTTGTGGTAGTGTTGGCAGCTTGTGGTGGTGTTGGTAGGTTGTGGTGGTGTTGGCAGGTTGTGGTAGTAAAGGTAGTGTTGGCAGGTTGTAGTGGTTGTGGTATTGTTGGCAGGTGGTGGTGGTGTTGGCAGGGTTGTGTGGTAGGTTGTGTAGTGTTGTGGTTGTAGTGTGTTGGCAGGTTGTGGTGGTGTTGGCAGGTTGTGGTGGTGTTGGTAGTGTTGGTGGTTGTGGTAGTGGCAGCAGGTGGTGTTGGCAGGTTGTGGTGGTGTTGGTAGGTTGTGGTAGTGTTGGTTGTGGTGGTGTTGGCAGGTTGTGGTAGTGGCAGCTTGTGGTGGTGTTGGCAGCTTGTGGTAGTGTAGGTTGTGGTGGTGTTGGTAGGTTGTGGTAGTGTTGGTAGGTTGTGGTAGTGTTGGCAGGATGTGATGGTGTTGGCAGGTTGTGTTGGTGTTGATGCGGTGTGGTAGTGTCGGCAGGTTGTGGTAGTGTTGGTAGGTTGTGGTGGTGTTGGAGGTTGTGGTAGTGTTGGCAGGTTGTGGTAGTGTTGGTAGGTTGTGGTGGTTGTGGTAGTGTTGGCAGCTTGTGGTAGTGTTGGCAGGTTGTGGTGGTGCTGGTAGGTTGTGGTAGTTGGTGGTGTTGTTAGGTTATGGTAGTAAAGGTAGTGTTGGCAGGTTGTGTTATCTGAAGTAGTGTTGGCAGGTTGTGTGGTTGAGGTGATGTTGGCAGGTTGTGTTGGTTGAGGTGATGTTGGCAGGTTGT